ATATTCACTCATTGAACAAATATTTTACTGAGCATGAATAGCATGTCATATTAGATCCTGCTTAATAAAATGTATATAAAATAGATAGGGTTCCTACCTGTAGAGCAGGGGGAGAGATAACTAGTAAATATGTGAACAAAAAAAATAAATGTACAATTGCCAACTAGGTTAAGAGTAAAGACTGAATTAAAGAGGGTGCAGTTAAAGAGAGTAGCAGGCCCTAGCCAGTTTGGCTCAGTGGATAGAGCATCTGCCTGTGGACCCCCAGGTTTGATTCTGGTCAAGAGTACACGCCTAGGTTGTGGGCTTAATCCCCAGTGGGGGGCATGCAGAAGGTAGCCAATCAATTATTCTCTCTCATCATTGATGTTTCTCTCTCTCTCTCCCTCTCCCTTCCTCTCTGAAATCAACAAAAATATATTTTAAAAAAGTAGTAGAAGCATGCTATTTTGGAGGAGTGATCAAGGAAGACCTCTCTCATGAAATGACATTAAGAGTGAGACTTAGGAGGAGGAGTTAGCTATGTGAAGAATACAGAAAGGAGCATTTTTTTCTGGAGATAGAGTGAGTGTGAGGGGCTTGAGCAGGAAAAGTTTGGCACATTCCAACACTGAGAGTAACTCAGTGGGCTTGAGCCTATGAACCAGGGGTAGCAGAGTGTGGGTGGGGCCAGGCATGGAGTACAGTGGGAGTCACTGAAGAGAATGACATGATCCAATTACATGCTAACAAAGATCACTTCGTTTGCTGTTTAAACAAGAGATTGGACAGGGAAGAAGGAAGATCAATCTGAAGGTTAGAGTAGTTTAGTCAATAGATGATGGTGACCTGGTCTAAGGTGGGGTGATACAGACAGACAACCATATTAGGGTCTAATTGATAAATGTAATGATGGAGTAGGGTTGAAAATGAACCACTCAAATGCATCTCACATGTTATCTCCTAAGACCTCGGAGCACTTCAAGTTGGAATAATCCCTACATTCTCTAAGCACTCACAGCACTCTAGCTTTATGGCAAACCCAATCACTTTCTGTTTTACATTGTAATTATTAGTGCACGTCTGCTTTCCTAGATTATAAGCTCCTTGGGTTGGAAGGAAAGACAGTAACAGCCATGTACTGACCACCATTCTGCCACCTGCACTACCTGTCACAGTGCTTTGCACACAAAAGGCACTTGATAATAAATCAGTAATGAGTAGCACAACCACACTCCTCATGAAGTTCTCTGAATCTCACATTAAAAACTTTGAAACAAGTATAGAGATGCTGTTTTCCCTAACATTTGGTGGCATTTGTCTATTAAACTTCTGTACAGGCCCCTTGGCCTGAGATCCAGTGAATTGTGTGAAACAGGTTTTCAACCATTTCTACCAGGCCCATGAAATAGACTGTCGTTATATTTACAAAGGTCTGTGGAGGTCCCTGAAACACAGCAGCACAATCATATATCATAAACCCCTATCATAAATGGGTCGGATAGGATAAGCCAACTTGAAAGAGAAAATAAAATATTATAACCCTGACTTGAAAAGAAAATATGGTGTGTGGTTTATTGCTGTGGATTATGGAGGAAGAAAGAACTGATTTTTAAGTCAAGAACAGAATGCAGTGACAGTCTTTAAACTCAATTCAGTATTCAGAGGGCAGACAGTAGACGCTGGAAAGCCGAAGCTTCAGGCTCCTGCTCTGGTCTATAAAATACATGTAAAATTGTTTTTGCTGCATTTTTAGTGCTACATTATTAGTATGTCATTCTAGAGGCAAGGAATGTTGAGGAGGGGGAAAATAACAGGTACTTTCAAGTTTTTTTCATCAGAATCTCACATTGCATTTTAAAGTCCTTTAAAGACTGTGGCTTTGGGAAATTCTGCTCTGATGGAAGAGGGTCTTGAGTAGATTTGCAACACTGGAAAGAACTGGAACTATCCCAGCGATAAGTTCTGCAATTATCAGAAAAAGATGGTATCAAATAATGAGATTCTCTTATTTCTAGAATGACTTTCCATTGAGCATGCCTTCCCTCCTTTCCTGAGCTCCCCAGCCTCCACCCCTAAGTCTCTATTGTTTCAATATAGAGAATCATTCACATCTGGTTCAGACATGAAGGTATCAAAATGCATCCCATGACCAAGGCTGAAAGCAGAAACATTAGAGCACATATGGAATTTGTTGGTCAGGCTTGTTCTAGTCTAGAGGCACAAGGACAATGCATACAACCACTGCGGAGACTGACAGAACTAGGATAGGAAATGATAGAGAGGAGCTTATGCACTAAGTGGAGGTTGACCAGATAGCTTCTAAGGACTTGTTTAAGCTGGGTCACATGGTTGTTTTGCTGCGTGTGCTCAGCCTTATGAAACTGCCTCTCTATTTCTTCTGATTCTCTTATAAGCCTTGGAGATTGAATGAGATATGTTGCATTCTGCCCCCTTCAAGTCACACATTTTTAGCTTTTCCTTTGGGTGCAGCCTTGACAAAAGAATAGCTACTTCTTGTGTCTTTTATGAGACCATTTCAGGTCATCAAAGAAATAATCCCTAGTGGCTCGAAGACACAACTTAAGTAAAATGGGTAATGCAGCCAATTATTTGGATCCTTCAGATGAGGCAGGTTGTCTTGGTGATTCCTCCTGATTGGCTTGGCTGAATGCATTCATTCATTATTCATTCACTTACTCACTTATTCATTTACTCACTCATTCAATAACCACTTTTTAGGGGCCTCCTGTGTATCATGTACCATGGACCCAGTTTTCCATTTCAATACCTTTATCACCATTTTGGGGCAACAAAAGTGAATGAAAAAGAGTTTATGGACTCATACTGGGAAAAACCTTGTTTTTAGGGAGAAGAGGGTCAGGTGGGTCGGACATCTGTGTGCCAGGCCTTAGTCCTATATCAACTTCATTTAAAGCTCCAACTAAAAGGAAATGAAATAACAACACTAGCTGTTATTAACAGAGTGCCTTTTCTTATTTTTCTAGGAGCAACCAAAAAAGAAGTCCATTAATGAAAATATAATTCATGCTTCTTTGTTTGTTTCCAGATCACCAGATTAAAAATTGACCGAAACCCTTTTGCTAAAGGATTCAGAGATTCTGGAAGAAACAGGTAAGAATTGGGAAAGAGACTCACTGACACTTCTTTTATATGTGATGTTATTCCAACCACACCCCTTTGGCTCCTGCTTTTTGGAAAACACTTGCATGTCACTGTGCAAAGACAAATAGATAGCTGATCCAAGAATGAAAAAGCTGCCCTCTAAAGGCTGAATTATCCAGATTGGTTGGTAAAACACTCTAAAATAGCAGATCAAGTCCTTCCTCCTCTACATCATACTTGGTAATTCAGGCACTTAAAGCAAAACAAATTTTTTGGTGATTTATTATCATCAAAAGATTACTTTTTCTGTTACACATTTATATGTGGCTAGAGAACCTACAGTGATATTTCATCTATTTTTCATTATCAGGAAATAAGGAATTGTGGACAAATAAAATTTTTCACACAATTATTACTTTTAAGAGGTAAAACGGTGTTAAAAAATTAACCATTTTTCTGAAATGATTAATATGAAAACATATGAGATGTTTCTGCTTTAATAAATAGAGTTTATAGAGCAGCACCTCTCTGGGTGCCCTAACATCACCATTGATTAGGTTGTTATATAGTGAAACTCTTAGGAATTATTGACGTTTATAGAACTATTTGCTCCTGTTGTAAATGGCCTTGGAGACTCTGGTATTTTTCTAGTTAATTCTTTCTTCTCTCTAAATACCTCCTTTCTAAAATGAAAACCTGTTATCCACAAAGTTAAGAGAGAACTGAAATTGCCAGGGAAACCAGATTGATCTAAGGTTATTCTATCAGAAAATGTCACTTTACACAAACCACACTGAAATAGCAAATGTGACATTCATGTCTCATAAAGTGTGTAGGCTTTGCGATCACTATTTACTTTAGTGTTAAGACATTTTCCAAATTGGGGGCATTTCTTTACATTGGAATGATATAAATTGCCAGGAGTTATCTTTGCTATTTTCTATGCAAGAGTTGTCAGATGAACTAGTTTTATATTTAATCACTCCATGAACTACATAGCTAGCACATATTAGAATCCAGATTTATGCTAAAAGTCAGTGATTATTTCCTTTACAAAATGATTTATGAAAGTTTTTATGAGATCCTTATCATATATGTAAAAACATTTAGATTTCTATATAATTTTATTTACCTCAGAATTTCTTAAGGTCCCATCTATTGAATAAAGTAAAAGCCCTCTTAAACTTCCAGTTTGCAGATGACAAAATTGAGTAATATGTTTTAGGTCAGGCAACTAGTTAGTGATACAGCTACGCGAGAACTCAGGCATATGGACTCCAGGCCAGATGCCTTCCTGCTCAACGGCTCTTTGTTTAAAATAAGACAAAAGCCTTTGTTTTCAAAACATAGCCAACGAAGAACGAATCCCTATTCATTTCAGTTCAGAGGGATGGTCCTCTTCCTCACAATGAGTTTCTAGTTCCTGTTCAGGTCACAGAAGATGCGTGGGAGCTATTTCCTGTTGCCTCCCTTCCTGGGCTGGCTCTTTGGGCATATTGAGGACCTTGTTAGTGATTGGAGCTCAAAATAGAAGCTGGCCCTTCAGAAAGAAGCCTCGGGTATTGGAGATGTTTAACTTGGAGTCCAGGGATGGACATCATGGGTTCTGTGTGTTTCCAAATATTGTAAATAATATCGTGTGCGGATGAGCAGGTGTGCGTTTTTCCAGGGAGAGGTCTACGGCTTTCTTCAGATTCTCGAAAAGGTCTGTGAACAGCAGTTAAGAATTTCTGCTCTAGACACAACTGTATTTGCCCAGGGCCCAACCAGCCCTACCGTCTTTAGTTATTCAAGTACTTTCCTTTTTTTTTTTTGCCTCACCAGTGGCATTTGTTGTGTTTATTTTCTTCTTGGAGATCCAGAGCTTTTCTTTTTCTTTCGTTGCTTTACTTTCCTAGTGGAATCCTTGTTTGTCAGAGACGTGACCTGAACGGAGAATCTGAATAGATAGGCTGTACTGACCAGAGCTACAGCTGGGCTGTGGGGTTGGAGCCACATTTTAATGGACTTAAGAATAAGGCCATGCACCTTGAAGCATTTGCCTCTGGTTATGAAGTTGTGATGACATCTCAGTTCAAGTCCTGAGGTCCCTTTGCCTCCTCAGTGGGCTGGAAGGGACCTTGACTCATCATGGGACCCTGGCCTGTGTCTGCTCTTATGGCTGGTAAATGTCTACTGTTCAGTAACTGCCTGTCCTGCCTGGGGAACTGCTCTTCGTTGTAAGGACTCCAGGAAAGCAGAACTACAGTCTTCAATCGCCCGTTTCAGTGCTTTATCTATTTACTAGAGGCCTGGTGCACGAAATTCGTGCACTCGGAGGGGGTCCCTCAGCCCGGATTGCCAGAGGATGCAGACCAGGCCAAGGGACCCCACCTGGGCACGATTGGGGGCTGGGGAGGGACATGGGAGGTTGGCCACCTGGGAAGGGACCATGGGAAGGCTCCAGGGCCCAATCTGCTGGACCCCAGCAGCAAGCTAACCTACCGGTCAGAGAATCTGCCCTCTGGTGGTCAGTGCACATCATAGCAAGCGGTTGAGTGGCCTTAGCATATCATTAGCATATTATGCTTTGATTGGTTGAATGGATGACTGGACACTTAGCATATTAGGCTTTTATTATATAGGATTTTCCTCATAGCCTGGAAATATCTCATTAAGTCCCATTAAAACCTGCACGCTGTTTTAAGTAATATTAGTAATTATAGAAGTTATCTGTGACCGAATGCTTACTGTGCTCCAGACCTTTTACTTACGTTCCTTCTAATCTTCAAAGCAACCTGTATTTTACAAATAGGGAAACTGAAGCTCAGAGAGTTTAAGCAGCTTTCCTAATGTTAGCCTGGAAATATCTCATTAAGTCCCACTAAAACCTGCATGCTGTTTTAAGTAATATTAGTAACTATAGAAGTTATCTGTGACCGAATGCTTACTGTGCTCCAGACCTTTTACTTACGTTCCTTCTAATCTTCAAAGCAACCTGTATTTTACAAATAGGGAAACTGAAGCTCAGAGAGTTTAAGCAGCTTTCCTAATGTCACACAGTAGAGCTGGAGCAAGAACTAAAACCCAAGTCTCCCTGACTTCCAAACCCGTGCACTTTCTGCTCTATGAGGCCAACGATTGACATTGGACTTATTTTATGTTCAACAGGTATGGAGAATAGAATTCTTTTTCCAAAAAAACCTTTACCTATTTAAAGATAAAGAACCTCCTATTTTCTAAAAACCTGTATATACTCTGCCCATCTTTGTCTATTTCCCCAGGACTTTGTCATCTGCTTTTTGCACCCCTGTAAACAAGGGGCTCCCTAATAGAGGCAGGAAGTCAGGCTGAACTTTGCTGGCAGGTGAAACTGCGATACAATGACACTAAAAACCTGTGTCATGATGGGGCAAGGATGCTCATTAAAGGTAGAAACCATTTTTGTCTCCCAGCGCTCTGGGAAGCTGAACTAAAATACACTTGTGGCCCTTATATTCTCTCTTTGAAAAGCTCCAAATTATCCGGTTATGACAATTTAATTATCACTAGCTGCCTGCAGGATCTGATGAGGGCGAGAATGATTAATGCCATTGTGCAGATGGGAGGGATTGATGGGAGAGGATCTAGAGGATTATCTGTAAATCTTCTGGTGGTTTGTGCCAACATCAGAGCCCAGTTTGTCACCTTCCAACCGGTGCCTCATCTGTTGCCTTTCTCCTGCTAACAGAGTTCTTATGATCTGTGATCCTCCCCAGGCCTTTTAGACATTGAATGACTCATACAGACGAGCATGGTTTGACGAGTTGCATATAAATGTACCCCAAACATACGGATTACATTTCCTTTCAAAACACATGGGCTTAAAAATTAGGGGGAAAGCGCTCAGCCAATGTTTTTTGGTTTTGCAGAACACAAAACATTTGTGGAATACTTTGGAGTCCCAGAATTTGCCAAACCTCAAACCAAAACACGTTCAGGTTTGTTGATCTCAACCCATCCTAGCGCGACGCAGAGGCCCAGGAAGGGAGGAGTGTCAGAGGAAGGATGAGGAGGACACAGCCGCCTGATAGTCTCTTTAGATGCCTCGTGCCAGTCTGTGGGCCAGTAAGCCTCTCATTGCAGCACATCGTCCTGTGGCTGGGCTGACAGCAGTGCCCGCTGAGGGTAGCCAGGATGAGGATACTTATTTCCCATTCTTCCTTTTTCAATGTAAAGAGATATCCATGGAGAAATACTTCTGGCTTCTCGCCCCATCGCTTCCTCCTTCCCCTCGATGGGAACCAAGGTAACTGATCTGATTGCCGAGTCTGGGAGGAGGAACCCTTCAGGACCTGCTTGCCTGCAGAGAGCTGGCCTTTTGGGCTCTTTCCATTGTATGGTAAACCCAGCAGAAGAGGCCCACAGTTTGGGGGAGTAGCTTATTTCAGTGGAGTTCTAGCCCACTCATTCAGCCTTCATGCCTATGCCATAGTCTCCAGACACCTTTGCCAACAGTCAAACTGCTATTTTGGTCTCCATTGCATCAGACTCGTAGGTCTTTCTTGGAAATTATTCTGAGTTCAAATAAGGATAAGAGGTGATATTCATGGGGTCTTCCAGAACCCCAAGGGGAGCCTCAGTGAGTCCACGGTGTCAGTCCTGTGGTGTCACCATCACTGGAGCCTGTCGTGGTTCTCCTACTTCTTTAGGAATCGTCATTCACACTCTGGTGTGAGAAGGTCATCACCCTTCAAACTCTACTTACGAAGCTTCAACTTTTTTTCATTTGCATGTAACTAGGTCCCTGATGAGAAGTCTCCACCAGAAAGACACATGTGTGTTTGTGTGGGTGCATGTATGTGAATGCATGTGCGTGTGTTTGTGTTGTGGGGAAGAGTAGTAGTCATCTGGGCCTTTCAAAGTGGAAAGCCTCACTGATTTTGCTTCCAGACATGGTCTTTGCAATGGGTGGAAGATTTTATTTACTTCTATTGTTCCTCCTCCTAGATTTCTCAGAAATTATGTGGTCTAAATCTGGCTTTGGGTGG